AACAGAATATTGAAGCATTGAATTTATATATTATAATAAATTCATCAAAAATTTAAATCGCATTTTTTTTAAAAAAGTGTATTAAAACTCCAGATTTTATTTTTATTCCAAGAATCATCATTTAAAAGAAAAAAACAAATAATATGAAACATGGAGACATCTTTATTGGATTGAAGAGAAATTCTTGCTTAATTGCTTAATTGCAAGATGGTTGATGAAGGGGCAATTTAGGAAGCAATTTAGGGGCAATTTCTGAATCAAACGTTTCAAGTAGATCAACCCATGTAATTTTACTTCAACTCAATTCACCCTTCCTCCCAGTTTCTAAACAACGCTACTCATATTTTAATTAGCTAAAAATTTGAAATTTCAGCTCATTATGGGTTGAACACCAGTGCCCAACAGGCCAACATAGCCTAAAGCATCAAAGTAGCTTCCAGAACCCAAATTTAAAAATGAAAAAACATAAATACTCCAAATGTTTTAATAGTTAATTGTATTTTTCTTGTGACAATATACTTATACTCTACTGAATTATTACAAATTGGTCTTCTTGTCCATATATATAACACATAATTAAAATAACATTTTGAAATGAATATTACGGAGCATAATATATTACAAATTAAATAAACTAAGATTTAAAGGAAAAATGTAGAGACAAATTATATAGTACACAAGGGAATGATACAACCAGCATTTTTTGTAATTAATTTCTATTTCTTTTGAGGCAATAGTTAAGTTCGTTCTGTGCGTTGTTTTTCTTTGTTCCGCATCAAGTTTCTTCATTCTTGGCTAGTGGCTCCTGCCCGTTAGTTTTAATTTTTATGTTTTTTTTTTTTTCCTTTTTTCATTTCTTTCGTTGCTTTTACTTGTTCTTCTTCTTTCTTTTTCTTTCTTTTTCTTTCTTTTTTCTGTAACAAGCTTATCTTAATGTTCTTTTTTCTCCAATTATTATGAAAATGTATTATATAGAACTTTATTTAATATTTGAGTTTTTTTCTTTTTCCAATCAACTTTCTAACTTAAGTTCTGTAATCTAATGAATTACTACAAATTGGTCTTCTTGTCCATATATATAACACATAATATTAATGTTTTGTTTTCCTATTTTTAATATTAAGATGAATATTTATTAGTTTATTAAATATTATGTGTCAATTACTAACATGAGTATTGTGTTATATTAAAATGAATATTGTGTAAAATAAATGTGCATGAATAAATATTATAACAACAACACGATTATATTTGTAATTCAACAACAAAAAACTATACATTATCTTTAATATAACATTTTTATATTTCTCATTGCTATATATAATGATAGTTTATTAAATTGTTAATAACGAATCTATTAAAAGTACTTATTATAGAAAAGAGTTTACTTTTTCATTCAAATTAGTATAACGATTAAAATAAATTAGTACACACAAATGGATATTTTGAGCACATTAGAAAATTCAAATAATCTTTTGAATTTTTTGATACTCATTTTGTAAGGTACGTATGCTAATGTGTGGTTTTATGCTCATTTTAAAATGTCACATCGGTGCATATTTCAAAACTATCATACTACATTAGATTCACATAAGAGTTGATTATAGACAGAGTAGAGATCATGATATATATAATCAACTCTCATGTGAGGAAGCGGTCCAGCTCAACTGGTTGCCGACTAACTCTCCCTTATGGGAAGTCCCGGGTTCGAAACTCAATGGAGTGAGTTTCAACTCACTTTACTCCAGGCTCCACCAGAACCCCCCTCCCCCAGAAGCCCCCTGGAGTAAAAAAAAAGATCATGATACTCAATTGCATGCTTCTAATACTCAATAAAGAAGGTTTGATGTTCAATGAAAATGTCTTGATGCTCAACTATCAAGCTTATTATTTTCATATCAATGCTCATTTATAAGTTATGTATACGCATTTGGTAGTGGCGTTATGCTCATTTTAAAATGTCATATCAATGTTTATTTCAAAAATAGCATATTACATTAGATGTGTGTGTTGCAATTCGTAGGAGTTCACTATAGATATAATTTATTTGAGATATTTTTATAAAAGAAAAAATAAGATAAAGAAATAGAATCAAAAGGTATAAAACAGAGATCACGATGCTCATTGTTAGACTCATAATACTCAGCAAGAAATGTTCGATGCTAATTAAAATTGCATCAATGCTCATTTAAGAGAAATATTGATTTCCACCAAAATTACGAAATTGCCACCGACTGTACGGGGCAAGCCGTACATCTGGCTGTACGTTATACACACTTGAATGTAGATGTGACAAAAAAGTGAATAGCTCACCACACTCAGAGCCTCGAGGAAGATGTGAACTGATGCAGGTTGATCAGTAAACCATCGAGATAAACCATTCATAATGATAGTTGGCGACTCTAACAAAAATAGAAGTAAATAAAATGGAAAAAAGAAATGTTATTAGAGTAAATTCATCACACAATTCACGATATGTTTTAATTTTGTATTAGCTCAATTCAAGTTGACCTCATTACGTGGCTCGGTAATAGTGATATTCGGGTACGAACTGAAGCTCGGTGAGCGTTATAATTGAGGCTGATGTTTAGAAGTGTAGTGTGTAGCAAATAGCAATTGCTTTCAACATGCTCGAGCTCGAATGGAGCCTAACATACAACAATGCTTGACCTCGGATCGTTGGATCCGAAATCGAGCTCGAGCATCAAACAAAGACAATGAGAAAACAAAAGGGAAGGAAACCTTGATTATCGACCGGGATGTTTGAAAGGGAAGCCATCATTTGATCGGGATCTTCATCAGATGGTAGGGTCAACTCAACTTGATAGGGGGCACCCATAAATTTCACTCTATATGTGCCATGTTCCTTCAACAAGCAATTCCTGAGGCCCAAGCGAAACTCCTCAGATACCAATCTCTCATCCCTATAGAAGAAGTGGCCGTCGGCTAAGACCCACCTCTCTTTGCCTTCATCAGTAACCGTCCATTTGAAGGGAGACACGATATGAACGTGAATGTCATGAAATGGAATTTCGAGAGGACTGGGAAAAACATAACAACTCTCTAAGCCATAAGAGACAATAAAGTGTACGTTGGACACATCCACGGGCCTGACAATAGGACCCATGCAGCCAGGGGCGGACCCAGGAAATTTATCTTGGGAGGGCGGTGACTTAAGAAAAATATTTTTTGAGAGGGCGAAAATTATTTTTTGATATATATATACACTAAACAAAATTTGTTGGAGGGGCGACTGCCCCCCTGGGTCTCTACTACGGTCCGCCCCTGCATGCAGCCAAGGGTGTAGTTGAACTTTAAGCGTGGAACCAATGATAAGGACAAATCTTCATCCACTTTTATACATTCTGGTGGAGGAGGAAATGGCATGTAGGGGATGGCCTTTGGGATTTGAACTGGAGCATCCACAGTTGTTTCTTTCTTCCCAGCATCCATCAAAACAGAAGTACTTTTGCATTCATTTTCACCATATGATTCCTTAGCTGAAGAAGTTTTTTCACTTTCATCTGCCACTGTTTTTCATGAAAAATTAACACATAACAATCACCAGTTTTTTATGTCATAAACAACTAACATCAAATCCGTGCAATTTTTGTAGAGATGGAAAGAATAATGAGAATCATAGTAACCCATCGATCAATAAGATTTGTGTGAACTCGTATCAGATCATCACAAGTTGAGCAAAGTTCAGGGCTTTTGTTATTATGATGACAGAGCAATTTCGAGACAGGAAGTTCACAATGCTGCTTTAAGCTACTGTCTTGAACAAGCTATTGAAGATGGGTTGGGCTAGGTATTTTGGGCCATTTGAAGTGGTTTGGGGTGGTTTGGGGGTGAGGGGGGAGGGTTGGGGGTTAATTAGGAAACGCCAGAAAAAAAAAAGAAAAAAATAGAACCGAGGCCCGGCCTGGACCCGGGATTACCCGGGCCGGTTCCGGGCCTCCCATTCCTGAACCGAGGCCCGGCCGGGCCCAGGCCCGAACCGGGCCCAGGCCCGAACCGGGCCCGAACCGGAACCGGTCCACCCATACAGAGGATGAGTGGTTCAGAGATTAAGATCCAGGGGATATGTGGTCTGTGTAGTACGGAGTAGTTAGCCTATTTTTGAAATGAAAAAACTAGAAGTGATAAAGTGGAAGTTTAAATATATGTAAAGAAAGTCCTACGGGGTCATAAACGATTAATTATGACTAAACGGTAATAGTGGCCTAAACGGGTAATTATCACTAAAAAATTTAAAAAAGGGAATTTATCACAAATAGATTAAAAAGTAAAAGTAATATCACTTTTGTCACCTTTCAAAATTTCTTTCAAAAATAGACTCACTCAATCTTTATTTCACAAATAGTCTATATCTATGTAAATGGGTTCCTGGATCCGCTACTACCTAACTTCAAGAAGTGCCCGTAACTAACTTAGAGAAGTCGCAGATTATACCGTGGGATCGACCCACCGTGCGCAGGGTGTGCCGATCCCTAAGCGGCACCGTTTTATTTAAAAAAAAAATATCTTCTTCCTTCCCAACTTTTCGGCAGGCCGTTTCTCCGCAGATTCAATTTAGGGACATGGAAAATCATTGGAGCCCCCGTTGGATGTATCTAGATTCGTGCAGCTCAAATCCCCAACCAATCAAAAAAAGTTCTCTCTTCGCTTCTTTGAATCGTGAATTGACACCCCCAGCCCTGAAGAGAAAGCTCGGTTAGCTGCTGAAGAATAGTGCTCTTTGATTTTGTGGAAAGAATTAGGGAAGGGAAGCTTACTGCTTTTTTATGGAGTAATTGGTTTGGATGCGTATGGTGATATGGAGTAATTGGTTTATATGTATATTAATTAATACATGGAATTACATATTTTTATATGTGAGTTACATTTTTTAAAGTTACATCTTCTGAAGCGCGAGTTACATTTGTAATAACATGAGTTACATGAATAAAAAATCTGGTATTCAAACAAAAAAAATGATTTTTTTAAAAATCCTTTATCAGGTCATGATATTAAAAACCAAACATATTTAAGATTTACATAAAGTAATTGTGCAATTAAACTCTCTTTTTCATTGTTTACATTGAAAAAGAGAGTTACATTTCGAATGAACTTGAGTTACATTGATCAATAACGTGAGTTACATATCTTTACACGCGAGTTACATCATTCATACTATTGGGCCAAAAAAATAGTTATTGTACACGCGTGTACTGTTCACGCGTTACTGTTCACGCGAAATTTTTTTAAAAAAATTGTGCAAAACTACGTCGTTTTGGGTGTGGGAGCACGGTGCTCACCGTGGGGTGATACCACGGTATACGAACTCTAGAGAAGTGCTCCTAACGTTCCAACTATATAATAACACTAGCGTTGGACCGCACGCTGCGCGGTTGTCATGCCCAATGGTGGCGAATGATCTGGAAACAAAAGTAATGTAAAAGTTGCAACAAAATTAATACAAATAAATTTACAAATAAATGAAAGTGAGTAATAATGTAAATGAAACCCAGCATGCAAAGGGTTGTGATGAAATGTGGATAAACAAGAATGATAATATGGCCAGCAAACATGGAATGTAATAATGTAATAAACGGCACACACAATAATGTGCATTTGAAAGTAATTAGCAAATTAGGCAGATGGCAACACAAGAAATTGTGAATAAACAACAAATTAAAGGAATGAATTTGCACAAACAAGTTAGCAGTTATCACTACACTAACAAAGGCAACTTCAGTAAATAGGGAGGGGGGAAGATCAGAATCCAATCTAAATCTGGTAGCCACGCCAATAATACTATTGGTATTAGTGGCGGCTACTTCAGCAGTAACAAAGGGGCCATCATTTGAATCATCAACAACAGTGTAGGTCTGTTAGATGACTCATATAATAAGGGCATTGGACCGCACGTTGTGCGGGGTCAATGCCCAATAGAGGGCAAAACATAATGTGCGAGTTCAATGCCCAATAGTTACTGAAACTATTTTAAATACATGATTTTAAAGTAGCTCAATAATTTCTCTCAGCAATACACGAGGATAGTGTTAGAGGCTATGTCGTCAAGGTATGCACTGTCTTTGAGAATCAACTGTCAAACCCCAATATGATGATCACAGATGGCAGTTTCCTACGCTATCAATTCCACTGATTCCAAATTCTTAATCCAGGCCTTGTGTTCCTTATAGAGTTCTTAAAGATTTTTATCCTTGTTCGTTTGAATATAAAAATATAGAATCATTTCAGGCATTGCACTTTAGCCTTGTTCCTTTTACAGGTTTATTAAACATTTTAAGCCTTGTTTTTTCAAAGATATTTATACTTTCCTACTCTTTCAAATGTATTTTGAAATCCATTTGTTTGTTCTAGCACATCTTTTAAAGAGAATAGGTATCTAGGAAATAAAAAACATTAGAATTTGTGTTATGAATCCAATTAGATTATATAATTTAAAGCACCAGAAACAACAAATTTGATAGAGAGGCTTGCAAAGTTGAACTCACCTGTATTTCAAAGACGACAATGATGTCACGAAAAAAAAAAGCTCAGGTGAGAGGCAGTGAACTCAATTCCTATGTGTGCGCCAGTAGGCTCCCCAACCATCTCAACAACCCTATCATATGGCAAAGCAAATCTGGCCAAACAAAATTGAAAGAAAAAAGAAGACTCTTTGACAATTATTGAACCAAGTGCACTCCAAAGAAATAATAAGCTACGCATGAAACAATAAGCTAGACACGCAACTCCAGGCTACATCAAACAAAACAATAAGTTATTCTTGCTGTTAGTGTACATAATAATTAGCTGAACTTATATGTATAAAGCATACCGACAAATTTTACCAAATAATGTCTTGAAAATTTGATACACCAACTAAAACAATTAAGAAAATATAAAGATCTTAAAACATTAGATAGAAATCAATGTTTTAGAAGATTGGTGAATTTTACCAAATGCACTCCTAAAGATCTCAAATTTTACCACATAAATGTTTTACCACTTCGAAGCTTTAGATAAAAATCACCTAATGGATTACATTGAAGCTTTAGAAGATTATTGAATTTAAAAAAATACAATCTTTCTTAAAAGATTGTTACATCCGAATTAGTCATTCTAGTTGGAGTACAATACTATAGATGTATATGACTCGTGGAGTTGACATTTATTGTGTTAAATTTTAAAAGATCGGTTGCAGGCTGGTAGTAAAAAAAAGCAAATCCCAATTACAAAAAAAGCACTCCCATGGCAATGAATTTATGATCGCATTTTCGAGGAATTTATACTGAGATTACTGACAGTCCCATGGCAATGAATTTATGATTGCAACACTTAGGGCACCATCACACGGCTCCATAAGACCATAACTACCACCACAGAGGACCTGCAAACATCGAAGGAATTAAGAATAACAAGTACCAAGACATTGAATGAAAGTAGATTTGGAATGAATCAATTCAATTTTTTGTCATGTCATAAAAAGTAAAAACACCGATCTAGAGAAGATGGATGAGACAAGTGGTTTTGTTAACCCTGCAGTTGCTACTTGTTAGAGTCAAAGAGGTGCATGTTAATTGAGCTGAGTGTTGTTGTTAGTTTAAATCTTTCAATTAGACCCTCTTCCTTGGCAACCATCATACTCTCTTCAGAAAGTTCAATTTTGAAGTGTATGGTATTCACATCATGGTACTCCCACAGTTACTTCCAAAATAAAAGCATACTTCAAACAATAAGTCACTTTCCTTTCTTCCTAAGATAAACTTTCAAAACGGCAGTAAAAGAATGTACCTTTATGAAAGGATCCTTGACCTTGTCATTTACAACCATCATTGATGTTAGAAAATGCTTGTAATCTTCGGCCCCTCTCTGAATGGAACTCTATAATCTTTAGTGTTGTTCCATCAACCTCCTTAATTAATGATTACAGTAATGGTTTACCTAACCCCAGCTGCTTTGGTTGCTGTTTTCTCTATGGTTCCTGGAAAACCATTATACCATGGATCCATGGGCTTCATTGGTTCATAATTCAACAAGCACCTCATGTTTCAATAATATCCCTGGGATTGTAATTTGAGATGTATGTGCTCCAACCTGTCCCTATTCCCTCACAACAGTTAATGACAATCATTGGAATGACTGCGACTTACCTCTGGTCCAAATAGCAAACTATTTAGTCATTTAAGTATTCATTTGTTATTGTATATATTGTAATCAAACAAAATGTTTCTATACTATAGTCTACATTTGGATACCAAGTAGGCTCAATGGGCTAGCCATCGTTATTCAAGTAGTCAAGGATTGTGTCATCTTTGTGAAACAAAAATCGAGCAGTAGGGGAAAGTTGAGTGTAAATGTACCCAGCGGTGGCATGGTCCTTTCCACCCTATAAACAGATCTCTTGAGATAGGGATACCATCAGAAATATCTTTTCCTTTTTGAAAGGCTGATTGTCCATCATAAATGATTTTGGGCAAAAATGCGGCAATCTGGGTAGTAATAGTCTTAGTAAAAATTTTGTTTATAAGTTATTAAGACTAATATGCCTGAATTTAGAAAACTGATAGGCATTTTTTCCTTTTAGAATAAGAGAAATAAGAGTGCGACCAATAGACTTGGGAATAGGTTCCCCACAGAGGAACTCCCTAACAACATTTAATAATTCATATTCAATAATGTCATAGGGAGCTTGGTAGAAATAACCATCAAAGTCATCATTCCGGAGAGTAATGTGTTTTGTTAAGGCCAAAAATAGCACTTTTAAGTTTATCTTTGGTAACATGGGCCAAAAAGAGTTTATTGCACTCGTTAGTATTCACAGGACCGGTATTCTGCAGATAAGATATAATGTCATGGATATCAGTAACATTATCATGAGAAAGTAAGGCAGAATAATGATCATAATGCATTTCCTAAGGGAATGACTGTCTATTTTACGCTAATTCTAGAGGCATAAGTTTATATTTTTAAATTAGCAAGCACGGGAGGTGGGAGTATCAAGATGTGCGCATTCAGTGACCCACACAGTGCAAATTAGCTGAGAAAAGGAAAATAACCAAACAAATATTCACCAAGAAAAACCACAAACACCTAGAGTGCTTCAGTTTTTTACATAGTAAGGTATAATAATTCCAAATATTTCTGAATTTTTTCTTTTCATATTATCTATATGAAGGCATGAAGCGCCAATGAATTTGGCATCCAGGTAATCAGTTGAAGGAAATATCAAACAAAGGAAGAAACCCAATCTCTAGGCTTGAAGAGGAGATGAGGAATTCGCCTCTAAAACATCTATAACACAAACTGAAATGCCCTTTACACACCCACCGTAAACATAAAACCAATCAACACTTTGTCCCTATGAAGGAGAAGATTCTCTGCACACCACAACATATAAACCCAACAATTTATTGTCTTTATTTTCTCAAGGAACACACCTCATTTTATTGAAATCAGAAACAAAATGCATAAAGCATTTTCAAATTCAGCAGTAACATAGCAACATAAAGCACAAGGGAAACACGGCAACACCAAAGAAAAGGCCCACATTAGGAAAATTATATTTATAGGACAAACAAGTACAAATTCGGGCAAGCACGTCAAATCAACCAAAAGGGTGAAACCAGCTTCACAATTATATTGCAATAATTTAGGCCATTTCATACAAAGGTTAGAAAAACTTCTAATTTCTAAAGCAATAGGGCCGGGAATTTCATTTTGTGGATAGAGGAGCAACTCATAGATAGAAGAATAAATGGAGAGAAATTACCTCACTCGGGATTGCTGATGCTAGGCTTGGAGAACGAATAGAGAGAAACGGAGAGAAATTACCTCACCACTGTAACTCATGACATAGGACAGAGCGATGGCGGCAACTCCACGACCATGTTCGGGGGTGGAGAACGAATATGGCTTACCTGAACGGCTGAACCTCTATCTGGTCACTACTTAGATTCCTGAATAATGGATTTTGTTATAATACAAGTGCTCCCCGACTTCTGAACTCCTGGAGCGATAAATGGTGAAGAACTCGATAAATGGCGAAGAACTAATTCAACACACAAGGGAAGCGATGCAAACCTCTTCTTGATGGTTATCTATGATCTGCTTGATCCTCAAAATAGAAATCAGAGGAAACAAAATAAAAAGAAGAAGAAATCTTAGCTGAAGTTAACGGGGTGAGGGGCCATTGATGGTTATTGGAGCCGCTCGATACTCCATGGAGGCTGAGAGATATACATAAGCAGGGGATATACATAAATAATATAAAGTAGCAAGTGTAAGATAACCTAAACAAATAAGATTATTAAAGGTCCATTGACCCTTATTTTCTCTTCCCCTAGCAAATAAATATAATACCTTGATAACATAATTAAACCTCTAGTATGATACATCTTTCAATATCCATTACATAATTAAACCTCTAGCATGACCTGAAAATGAAGCAGGTATAGGAGTACAATATCCATTGCATAATTAAACCTTTAGTAACAGAATCTAAAACTTACAGTTGTTTAGCCCCATTATCCAACACACTCCATTTCGACAAATCTTTAAGACCTGAAACAGATTCAAGGACATCCAGCCAAAGAAGCCACCATAACTACACCGGATCTAAAACAAACAACGAACAACACCCATCATTCGCACAACAAAACAGATATCAAAATTCAACATCCATCACTCTCAACAAACAAACAGATAAACTATATACTATATGATGATATTGGACTACCACACACTATTTTCTCTTGAGGATGAATTTGTTGTTCTATTGGGCTGACCAGACCTATCAATCTCAATTACAGGAGTTGTCCTAAGCTTGTCGTCTTTGTAAACAGCCTGGTGTGGCTCTTTCACATCTTCGGCTTCTTCCTATGCCATATCAAAAAGTTCATCGAAATGAGTAAATAAGTAACAATGCCCAGTAATCACATGTTAGAGATCTGCTCAAACTCAATTTATTTAAATATTTCTTTTAAAAAATATATATAAATCTAAATATATGTAAAATGTTAAAACTTTTAATTGAAATCGATTGCATTTCCAATGGTAAAATCAAACACAAAAATCAGTTTCCCAAGTCCCCCCATAACACTTTCCTGATTCCAAATATTGCCTTAAAGGATTAATATGTAATGTGTTATCTGGTGTGCTATGCATGCATAAATGTTATGACCAAATGCTAACTACAATGCTGTAATCATAAAGATAAAAAAAACATATCCCATATGGAGTCAATGAGTTAATGGAACAATCACCCGCTACCTTTGAATACCCAAAATCACATATCTTCAATCGCGGAGCTGGGCTTCCATCAAGTAATGTGTTTTCCAATTTCAAGTCTCGGTGGCATACCTGCTACATAACAAATTGTAGCCTTAGAACAATGCTACCTTTATATAGATGACTACTGAAATCAGAATTCTTAGGGAAAAGATCATTTGATGTGCCATTGCATGACAATAGCTGACACCTGATATTAGTTGTTGAAAGAAAAACCTTGCCTACAATTCAAATATTGCAAATGCACTATTCAAAAAGAATTCTTTCGAAGCAATTACGAAGTGACAAGACAAATTATCATGCATTCACTAAAAACCTCGGCATTACTGAATCGGCCAGCATTGCAAATCCGCTCAAACAGCTCCCCGCCTGATGGGTTGGTGTAAAAGAAGCTCACAAAGATAGCCATCTGATTAATCAAACATTAACCATAAAAACAAACATAAACCCAATGAAGTATTATCCAGGAGCAACAAAATAATAAAAAATCAGAATGGGGCTGACCAAATGTACATATACTGGAAGGAAGATATATAGTATGAAATTACAATTAGAAATAGATGTAAAAGTGAAGCTCAATTACATCCGCTATTAACCAGTAAGGTGGTTGAAAAAAGTTGGGAAAATAGATCTGTACAAGACAACCTAAATATTAATTTCTATAGTTTGATCCACCTAACCTGCTTTAAGCGGAATTTAATATTCTTCAATTCCCTAGAAATAAAAAAAAAACCTATATGTTTGAAAAACTTGTACGAATAAGTGAAAAGTTTAGTGTCAAGCTAAAGTAATAAACTTTATAAAAAAAATAATGAAATTTTTAAATAATGTTTTAGTAAAAAAAATCGCCCCAATAAAATAAAAAACACACAGATCAAATTCACATAGATTGGAAGAGAGACGTATAGCATGAATTTGGAGTTAGAAATAGATGTAAAAGTGAAACTCAATTATATCCATAAGTATATGCTGCTTAAATATTATTTCCTATGGTTTGATTGAATAATCTGCTTTAAGGGGAACCCAAGCTTCTTCAGTCCACTGGAAATAGTTAAAAACCCTTAAGTTTGAAAAGTTTGTATGAATAAGTAAATAGTAAATACTTTAGTGTCAAGATAAATAAGAGTTATAAATACATGTACAAGTAAAGTTCAATTGCATTCACAATGAACCAGAAAGTTGGATGAAAAAGTAGAAAAATGGATCTGCAAAAATCTACTGAAAACTTGAATAATCTGCTTAAAGGGGAATTTAAACTTCTTCAAGCCCCTGGAAATAGTAAAAAGACCATAAGTTTGAAAAGATTGTATGAATAATTAGAAATCTTAGTGTTAATATAAATTAGAGTTAGAAACACATGTAGAAGTGAAGTTCAATTGCATTGAAAAATAACCACAAAACTGGCTAACAAAGTTGGGAAAATAGACTTGTATAATGCTGCTTAAATACTGCTTTCTATTATTTGATTGAATAATATGTTTTAAGGAGTATTTAAGATTTTTCAATCCCCTGAAAAAAGTAAAAAGATCATAAGGCTGAAAAGTTTGTATGAATAAGTGAAAAGCTTAGTGTTAAGATAAATTGAAGTTAGGAACACATGTAAAACTAAAGTTCAATTGCATGCATAATTAACCAGAAAGTTGGCTTAAAAAGATGGAAAAATAGAGCAGCAAAATTTTACTTAAAAGTTGAATAAGCTGCTTTAAGGGGAATTTAAACTTCTTCAAGCCCCTGGAAATAGTAAAAAGACCATAAGTTTGAAAAGACTGTATGAATAAGTAAAAAGCTTAGTGTTAAGATAAATTAGAGTTAGAAACACATGTAGAAGTGAAGTTCAATTGCATTTAAAAACAACCACAAAACTGGCTAAAACACTTGGGAAAATAGACCTGTACACTGCTGCTTAAATACTGCTTTCTATTATTTGATTGAATAATCTGCTTTAAGGGGAATTTAAGTTTTTCCAAGCCCCTGGAAACACTATAAAGATCATAAATTTGAAAAGACTATATGAACAAGTGAAAAGCTTAGTGTTAAGATAAATTAGAGTTAGAAATACATGTAGAAAGTTGGATTAAAAAGATGGAAAAATAGATCTGCAAAAATTCTACTTAAAAGTTGAATACTCTGCTTTAAGGGGAATTTAAACTTCTTCCAGCCCCTGGAAATAGTAAAAAGACCATAAGTTTGAAAAGACTGTATGAATAAGTAAAAAGCTTAGTGGTAAGATAAATTAGAGTTAGAAACACATGTAGAAGTGAAGTTCAATTGCATTAAAAAAACAACCACAAAACTGGTTAAAACACTCGGGAAAATAGATCTGTACACTGCTGCTTAAATATTGCTTTCTATTATTTGATTGAATAATCTGCTTTAAGGGGAATTTAAGTTTTTCCAAGCCCCTGGAAACACTATAAAGATCATAAATTTGAAAAGACTATATGAATAAGTGAAAAGCTTAGTGTTAAGATAAATTAGAGTTAGAAATAGATGTAGAAGTGAAGTTCAATTGCATTCAAAAACAACCACAGAACTGGCTAAAAAAATTGGGAAAATAGACTTGCAAAATGCTGCTTACATATTGCTTTCTATTATTTGATCGAATAATATGTTTTAAGGGGAATTTAAGATTTTTCAATCCTCTGGAAAAAGTAAAAAGACCCTAAGGTTGAAAAGCTTGTATGAATAAGTGAAAAGCTTAGTGTTAAGATAAATTAGAGACAGGAATACATGTAAAAGTGAAGTTTAAGTGCATATACAATTAACCAGAAATCTGGCTGAACGTAAACCTGCACAATACCACCTCAATTTTACTTTGTATCATTTGATTGAACAATATGGTTTAAGAGGAATTTAATTTCCTTCAATCCCCTGGAAATAGTAAAAACACCATAAGTTTGAAAACTTTATGAAAAAGCGAAAAGTTTAATGTTAAGATAAGGGTTCAAAAACTTAAAAATAAAAAAAATAAATAAATAATACGGAATTTTCTAAACAATGTTTTAGTGAATAGTGGATTAGATTAAACTTTTAGAAGGAGGCTGAACATCTTTGAGCAAGTATAAATGAAGGCCGTGCACATAACAATTAAACCATGTTTACTAAAATCGAATCTTGTTCATAACAACACACAACAACGTATTTTAAAACAACATTGTGTAGCTATGCTATGGCTTAAGAAACACAAAAAAATACTAACATCCCAATGACAAACAAAGAAACAAGCGCATCACACAAAGGACCGGTGGAAAACCAGAGCGTCCCAAAACGAACAACAAAAAAACAAACGAGCAGCGGGACAAAACAATACCGAGAAAGGGAAAAGAAGAAAAGGGGGAAAAACTTACAAAGGGGGAAAGAGCCGAATGACCAGATGGATGGAAAAAACAAGGCCAGGAAAGATGTAGCAAAACAGAAATAAGGATAGATGCGTGTCAAACAGCAGTTGCGTGGGGAAGAAGGATGAATCGTGTCAGCGGCAAATCCAGCACACGCATGAAACGGGGCGTTTTTTTTTCTGGGATGCTACTCAACCGGCGAGAACTGCTGTAGTAACAATGAAGAAGGCGTTAATACTGTAGTAACGGAATAGAACGAAAGTTAACTCCCTTCCAACTTTTATATATTAGGGAGATGATCTTATCAATTCACAACCTTAAAGATAAAGGTGTCGATATATATGGCACTAAAAATCCTAGACTTAAAATCCCCTATTTTTTTTAAATAACCGAGTATTAAATATTATTTAATCATATTAAACTAAATCGGAGTAAACTTTTATGAAGTTAAAATCGTCAAATGTTTAACAATAGAGTTAATAAAAAAAATCAAAATATATGATATTTAGGTCTTAGATGGATTGATAAAATTTCTCAAAAAAACTAATGTCTAATTTAATCAAAATTCCAACTATTGATATGATTGCGTTTTGATACGTTAACTCTTAAATGAGTCAAATAATAACCACAACTGTGCATAAATGTTTAAAAATAGAGTATTGTGGGAAAATATTCAATTAGGAAAAAGGAATATCAACAAAATTGCAAAATACAAAACATAATGAACTCAGTAAGATTCACTTGATACTTTGTACCATGTTTACTAAAATTTTTAAACCGGCAATTTCATATAGTGATATGCAAAATCACGAAATATCTGTATATTCAATCACAAATCATGAAATAGCAGACCATAAATTCAGGCAAATTATACCGTACGACCGGCATACCATGCTCATGGTATGCCTGGTCCAAATACGGCACCGTTTTATCCATTAAATATAAGTTTAACCCATAAAAAAAACAGACCCGTGATGCGCCGCAGCAGTGCAGCACCGACTGCCGACTGGAGCTCTTCAACTTGCAGAAACTCTTCAACTTTGCTGAGACCGATTGAATTTGCAGCACCGATTGAATTTGCACCACCTTGTTGGCATAGCTAATTCTCAAACTTTTTTCAAAAATGAAAAGCAAATTCCAACTAACACATATCTTTTGCTTTGATGAAACATCTAAAGTGCTTAATAATCAAATTCAATTAACATAATTTTATTTATTCTATTGATGTCAATCGATGGAATTAATTGCTGTATGTATGTATGTATGTATGTATGTATGTATGTATGTATGTATGTATGTATGTATGTATGTATGTATGTATGTATGTATGTATGTATGTATGTATGTATGTATGTATGTATGTATGTATGTATGTATGTATGTATGTATGTATGTATGTATGTATGTATGTATGTATGTATGTATGTATGTATGTATGTATGTATGTATGTATGTATGTATGTATGTATGTATGTATGTATGTATGTATGTATGTATGTATGTATGTATGTATGTATGTATGTATGTATGTATGTATGTATGTATGTATGTATGTATGTATGTATGTATGTATGTATGTATGTATGTATGTATGTATGTATATGTGTTGTTTAATATTTGAAATTCCATCTTTTTATAAGCGAGTTACATTTTCTGAAGCATGAGTTACATATTCTGAAACGCAAGTTACATCTTCTAAAGCACGAGTTACATGTGAATTTCCCCTGCAAGTTACATCTTGCTTACACATTATTTACACTCTTCATAATGGGAGTTATGAGTTACATTTGAATACACTGTATTTACATTTAACAATAGCGCGAGTTACATACCAAAACAAAGGATTTACATCACGAAAAAAATTGAGACAAATGGTAGGGTACTGTTCACGCGAATTTTATCCTGAGAGTACAGTGCTCACCGTGCACCGGTTGCATGGTATACGGACTGATAAATTAAAGAAGAAAACCAAAACCAACCTGACCCTTTAGGCTCAATGTTATCTTGGGTTTTTATTTTTTGACGTCTGACGGAGGGAAATAAATTGTTACCTGCAGGTCTCAAGTTGGATGCCTTTAGGTTTAAGTTTAATTTGCCAGACTAGTATATATCTCACACTCTCACAGAGCCATGCACTGATGGATGGAATATTTTTCTTAAAGATTAAGGCTTTGTTTGGCTATTTTTGCTTAAAGATTAAGGCTTTGTTTGGCTATTTTGCTTAAAGATTAAGGCTTTGTTGTGAAAACGGGTTGTCGATAGCGACGCAGGTTGAATTCGTGATTTTAATTAGCTTATTATGTTGACTTAAGGATAACTTAAGTAAGGAATTGTTTGGTCGATTTAAGGATAAATTATAGAGGATAACTTATGGCTTTGTTGTGAAAACGGTAAAAAGCAGAGCCAGTGGCAGTGAGTCAGTTTAATATGCTTTGTCTATAAACCTAATAATCTACTACATCCAAGAGAAAGTGACACGATTATTAAGAAAAATGAGTTTGTGTGGTTGATATTAAATTGATAAAATAAGAATAAAGTAAGCATGATTTAGAGCCACACAATTTTTACTAAATTTGGTATGAAACAATTTTAGTGGGTCTTCCCTAAAAGTTAAATTGGAAATGCTATCAGGTTCCTACAAAAAATGATTCATAGCATACATTCCTTATTTTAATTGGAAGACATCCCGGACTACAACACTTAATACAATTATGATATGTCGGGGAGATTAGTTTTCACCCCAATATTGTGAAACTGAGTAAACAAAGCTGAACAAATATACGAACAAACATGGAGAAAAGGGTATAAGCCGTATCAGGAGAAGATTGACCAATAGTGGGGAAACCCCTTGCCAACTGAACAATTTCCATTTATAATAAGGTGAGGCTGTCTTTTGGATTTTCATAACTAGTGCTGCACAGGAGAACGATCGGCAGGTGTTGAAGAAATTAATTTATCATCTTAAATGTTATAATCGTAACCAACAAAACAAATTTTTCATTTACTAAAAACTTAAAAGTAAAACTCTAAGAGCCCGTTTGGAGAACTCTGTTTTCGGCTTATCAGGCTTATCAGCCAGCTTTTTCACCAAACACGTAATTTTTACTTTCGCGCGCTGAATTGTGTAATAAGCTGAAAAAGTAAGGTTGGAGTTACTTTTCTGGCTGTATTGGCTGAAGTTACTGTAGAGGACCATTTTAGCTATTTTTACATATAATTTTTTCTTTAATTTATTAATAAAATATATTTTTAAAATATTTTTTTCTTAAATCAGCAGAATCAGCCAAAACAGCCACTCCAGCCAGAATATCATAAATTTCAGCAGAATCAGCCAAAACAGCCGATTTTGGTGCTACCAAACGGGCTCTAAGACAGTCACATAGACCATAATAAACCACAACTGAATGCCTTACTAAAGTTGAGCTTTAAACTTCTATTTTGAAAAACTTTTTGGAATTATTTATTTAAATTTTTATTATTTTGAAATACAATGTCCTAAGAAACTATCCCAGGAAATAAGTATTCTCTAAAAGGTACGAGAGGCTACTTCGTTTCAAAAGAAACGTCAAAAGAAATTAAACTTTGTTCCATAAGAAGTTTTTGGATTTTATTAGTTTCACAAAGAAGTTGACAGTAATACTAATAAAAGTATAAAACTTTCATCCATAATAGGGAAAGGGTGCAAATAGGCCATGTACTAACAAAAAAAGGTCAAATAAGCCCTTATTTAGGAGATTCTGCCCGGTCGTCACCATTTGGGGTGGTTCCCGTAGGAATTTTTTGATGAAATTTTTTGAACATCTTATTCAATAAGTCTAGTTTACTCATACCAAATTTCAGCTAAAACTTCAATCAGGAAGGCATTCAAATGAATTCTTGAAAATCGCTGCGCAGTTAGAAGCGCAGGCATCTTCAAAAATTCATTTGAATGCCTTTCCGATTGAAGTTTTTGCTGAAATTCGGTATGACTAAACTAGACTTGATGAATAAGATACTCAAAAAATTTCATAAAAAAATTGCATCGGGAACCACCCCAAATGACGACGGCCGGACAAAGTCTTCTAAATAAGGGCTTATTTGACCTTTTTTGGTTAGTACATGGACCTATTTGCACATTTTCTCTCCATAATACGTAGTATGAGTTTATTACCATGTCAGATGTTTTAAAAAAAACTTCTAGCAACCACATGAAAAATTCTTGGGCTTTTTTTACACAATATCCCTATAAAAAACGAGATCATAACTTTCTTTTTTTCTTAACTCATACTCCGTATCACTCATCACTTTTGTTCCAAAAAGTCAAATATTGCTACTTATTACTTTCATTAATATTACAAATGATGAAAATAAAAAATCGTCATAATATGATAGTAAGACGCTCAAATGGATGTGCACTGAGATGCACATAAGTTAATAAGAGCATGAGGTTATGGTCCATTACTTCATAAGTGGAACCAATAACCTCTGTCGCGGACACCAGAAAGATCTAAATTTAAGATAATAATAACACATTTATGCACTATGTAATGAGCATTTGTTTCAAAGAATTTGCTTTATTGCCCTTGCGTTATTATAATTTATAGAAACTATGAAACAAGCTATTGTTGATAGCTTTATACTAGTATGAAGCAAGGCACTGCAGATAAATTTTCTATCTTTATACTATAAAAAGGAATTGAAGAAGCGGAATCACAAGATAGGCAAATCCTGTATATGTACATTTTTTAGAAAAAGAGTTCTCTCAATCGAGTAATATTTAGGTATCCTAGTTTGGACAAGATTCTGAAACATCTACTGATTTTTCAAATGAAGAGATACGGAGTATCTTACATTTACTTTGTTCCTGATTTCAGCTTCTACTTTTTTTAGATTATAAGATTTGATAGGATAAATTGTTAGTTATTCTATAGGATAGTAGTCATTGTCCTAATTCATCTATGTTGTTGTTGGTTGAATAATTATGTTTTCCATATTCATATATACAGGAAACACAAAAATATTCTAAAATCTCATTTAGACATATTCACAAGCACCTAGTATGCTTCAAGGATTCAAGGAGAAAGTTCAAAATTCCAAAACATTTCCTCCTTTTCAACCAGACCATGAGGTAAAGTCAATATGAAAACCTAGACGCCGGCGAGAATGACTAACAGGAGCTAACGGAGTAAGGCGCTAGTAACAGAAGGTTGCTCTCTATTGATTTGTGGTTCAAGGTTGAAAGCATAATGTCCTAAAATCTTATAATCCTCAATGAGGGTTAGGGTATTTTGGGACTGGAAAAAA